TTTAATAAATTAATAGCCACTCCAAGCATTTCCCATCGGCAACAATTCCACTCCAATTGTTCATACACTTGGAAATTTGAATCCTATCATACCCAACAACTCAAAGTTTGATTACCCAAATGGCCTCTTCGGAAGAAACCCGAATCCAAATCCATGCCAACAACATGCAGCAAGATCACGAGGAACAATCTTCCTCGTACGCTATGCAGCTTGTCAACTCAGTCACGCTGCCCATGACTCTGCATGCTGCACTTCAGCTGGACATTTTCCAGATCATAGCCAAAGCCGGACCTGATGCCAAGCTCTCCCCACAGGAGATAGCAACCCAGTTGGGCGCCCGAAACCCTGATGCGGCCATGATGCTGGACCGCATCCTTAGGCTCCTAGCCACCTACAATGTGCTCACTTGCTCTGTTGCTGTTAATGATCATCAAGATGATCCTCAGAGACTGTACGGTTTAGCATGTGTGTCCAAGTACTTTATCCGAAATGAAGATGGTGTTTCATTAGGACCCCTCATGGCTTTGCTTCAAGACAAGGTCTTCTTGAATAGTTGGTTTGTGCTTCTTGCTCTATATCAAATATCAATCAATTCCCTTTGCCTGAATTTAATTTCATATCAAAATATAAAAATATTTTAATAAGCACGTTCTGTAGTATATTAAATTGAATAATATATCAATTAGTGTTATTTTTCAAATAATTTTTTCTTTTTCTCTACCAATTTACTGATTTTCATCGATTTTCATCATTGTTACTAATTAGGTCTCAATTGAAGGATGCAATTGTTGAAGGAGGAGTTCCTTTTCACAGGGTCCATGGAACTCATGCCTTCGAATACCCTGCCAAAGACTCCAGATTCAATCAAGTTTTTAATAAAGCAATGATCAATCATACCACCATTGTTATCAAGGAAATCCTTGAGTCCTACAATGGATTTGAACACCTCACCCGTTTGGTCGATGTTGGTGGTGGTTTAGGAGTCACCCTCAGCTTCATCACTTCCAAATACCTTTCCATAAATGGAATTAATTTCGACTTGCCTCATGTTGTTCAACACGCTCCTCCTTACGCAGGTATGCAACATTACAAGCTTAACATGTCTAGCTTCTCAATTTTCAAGCCTACTGCACTCAGTTTAATCATAAATTGCAGGGGTTGAACATGTGGGAGGAGATATGTTCCATAGTGTTCCTAAGGGAGATGCCATTTTTATGAAGGTGGGTTTTATGATTTTGCTTGGAAAACTACATATCAATGCATTACTTTAATGGAAACCTATCATTTTCGAAGATGTGATTTGGAAATGAATTTGCAGTGGATACTACATGACTGGAGTGATGATCATTGTGTTAAACTGTTGAAGAATTGTTATGATGCTATACCTGACAATGGAAAAGTAATCGTTGTGGACGCAATCGCTCCAGTTTTGCCCGAACAAAATGTTGCTTCAAGGGCCATTGCTGAGATGGACATGTTAATGATGACACAAAGCCCTGGAGGGAAGGAAAGGACTCAACAAGAATTCATCAAGTTGGCAACTAGAGCTGGATTCAGTGGCATCAAATATAAATGTTTTGTATTTAACTCCTGGGTCATGGAGTTTTTTAAGTAACACCTAATACTCACTAATGCTATGTTTGGGAATGTGAGTTTAATTGAAATGCATGTGAATTTGGGACTTCAAATTTAAATATACTATTTGTTTACAGTAAATAAGAGTGTATTTGAATTTACTTCAAATACATGTATTTGGAACTACTTATTTGAAAATAAAATTTGCATTATTTTAAATACCCTGCTTACCTCATGAATTTCAATTTTCAATTTTGGTATTTCGTCAAATTAAGTAATATCCTTGATAAAATCTCTATTCAACTTCACCATTAGCCATTGGTAATTTTTTATCAAGGCCTTTTTCTCCTTCTTTGGCATAGATCTTCTCCTTCTTTTAATTTCATGGTAAATGTAATTATTAGATGTAAATCTCAAATCTATATCATGGCGAGCACACCCATGAGTTTGCCAATCAAGTTTGAATTATCACCTATCCCCTCTTCTTATATGGGTATTAAGGGTCAAGCAAAAGAATGGTTATGAACTCACATTGTCAATGCACCTCCTTCCCATCAGCCTATTTGCTTGGCCACCTCCCTTCACTTTGCTCCTCCTTTTCTTAGAATTAATCATGCACTTCACTTGTGCTTGTATTAAAAGCTAGGGACCTGTTCTAACTTCTAATTAACTTCATATATTTAGTTGGTTGTGCTCCATATTTTGTTTAAGAATGGAGAGTCAATGGAACTCATTTTCAACGAAGGTGCTTAACTCTATAGTAGTCCTTTCTATTTGTGAGTGATTATTGATGAAGTTTTTAGCTAGATTTATTCAATTGAAGTACTGGTTGATATTTGAAAATTATTAGATCTTGAGGTGATGAGGCCTGGAAGAGTACAATCTTCTTTTGCTTTGCACACCACCTATTCAATAAATTGCCTCACTAGGGTTATGATGTTTTGATATAGTACTTCAAATAGAAGGAGAGAAATAGGGATAATGACATGGGTAATTAAGATTGTTTGCTAAGTGTTTATAAAAATGTCTCAATAGGAAAAACTAACATCAATTCAATTTCAAATTCATAGTAATTTAATTTATCTAAATTGTATATTTTAATAAGTACTTAAAATACACATATTTAAAATATATGCATTTTAAATACACTAATCAAATTCAAATTTAAGTTCTTGAACACAACCTAAAAGTTGTAATTTTATGTGGGCAAGATGTTTGATCTTTTGCCTCTATGAATTTCTAGTAGGATGTGAAAATATTTTTCCATTGCGGTTCCTAATATGGTGGATGACCATTATTTGTGCTATTAACAGGACATAACGGTATGAATGCTCTGTTTTGGTAGTAGTTTCTGGGAGACAAGAGCGCCACAACACTTTCCTTTGGTTTAGGCTACGTTTGGTACTGCTGGTGAGAAGTTTTTTTGGATTTCGAAAGTTCCAGCTACACTAAACATTATAATTTGTGAAAAATATGACAATTTCTCATAAGTTAGTATTTTGTCAATTTCATTGCAAAGCTCAGAAGTATTGAATTGATGCTTCTACATGAGTTTCTCATTTGAGTTTTAATGAAATTAATATATTATTCTTATTTTATCTTTATTTTTTTTTTACAACAGTTCTATAACAGTTTATTTCTAACAGAACTTCTATTAAAAACTCTAATCATACCAACGGGTACTTAGTGATGAATAAAGAGATGAGAGATCTCAAAGCTCTGTTTTGGCATTAGTTTTGGTATGATACCATTTTGGTCTAATTTTTGAACAACCTTTAGCAAATTCATGGTGTTAATGTTATGTGGTATTGATCTCAGGCCTAACGAGTAACGAGTGTACCGAACCTATAGGTTTTGCGGCAATGGCCCTTGATAAGAGTATGAATTATGTATGTTTCTTTATATTTGTTTACATGTGCGCGATGATTAACAAAGCTTAATATTAATTAACAGATTAAAATCAATAATATATATTAATATTTTAAAACATTATAAATAATTATTTAAAAAAATATTAAAATTTATATGTTCTTGTAAAAGCGTTTGATAAATGTCAAAGATCAAGAAGTTTAAATGCTGTCCGTGATTCAAGGCAATATGATTCGAGCAAGGCATCAAGTTCAAAATGGGGGTCAAAGATCATCAAGTGTAATTGGTGTCTGTGATTCAAGCATAGCATTTGATTTTCAAAATCACAGCAAATCATAATTAATTGACCATTAAAGCTTAAAATCAGTAATTTTCAACCAACGGTTATTTATGTAATTATTATGTAATTAATATTCAAATTTCATGTTGTAATTAATGGTTGATTGCGTCTTGATATTATCTTGGAGATCAATTGCTGGATACTGGCTGGAGTCAATTAATTCTGATTTGCTGTGATTTTGAAAATCAAATGCCTTGCTTAAATCACAGACAGCAGTTTAAAGATGATCTTTGACCCCCATTTAAACTCGATGCCTTGCTTGAATCATATTGCCTTGAATCATAGACAGTATTTAAACTTAAGGAAAATGATTTTTTTGTATAACTTTTTTATTTCACCTTTTTGTATAACTTGATGTGTCATTTAAATGATTGATTCTTTTAATTTATATGTGATTCATGATATTGAATACATTTATTCATTTAATAACATGTGAAAGTTATATAAAAAAATACTATAAAAAGATTATCTTTATAATAATACCTTAAACTTAATGATCTTTAACATCTATCAAACGCTTTTACGGTTCTTAACAATGTGGTATGTAGTTATAATCACATTCTATACATATTATTTTTAAAATAAGAATTTGTTTGGTTTTGAGAGAGAAGATTTTAAATATTTTAACAAATTAAATTACTTTATTTGATTAATTCAAATAACGTCACTTTCTATAAACAAAATATGGTACGTGGCGTTGCTACGTTGAGACCCCCTGCACTTTTAAGAATTGTTATGATGCTATACCTAATAATGAAAAAGTAATTGTTGTGGACGCAAGTGCTCCAATTTTGCCTGAGAGAGATATTGCTTTTGAGAGCCATTGCTCAGATAGACGTGTTGATGATGACTCAAAACCCTGGAGGGAAGGAAAGGACGCAACAAGAATTCATCTAGTTGGCAAATAGAGCCGTATTCAGCGGCATCAAATATGAATGTTTTGTATTTGACTCCTGGCTTATGGAGTTTTTTAAGGAACACCTAATACTCACTAAAAGTTGTAATCCTAAAGCGTGTGCAAGTTGTTTGATTTTTTGCCTCAATGAATTTCTAGTGAAAACATTTTATTTGCCATTCGGCACCGAATAGAGTCTTTGACCATTATTTCAGCTATTAACAGGACACAATGATATGAACGCTCTGTTTTGGCAGCAGAGCAGAGCGTCATTCATTATTCATTTATTTCCTTTACTTGTCACCCAGATGCCTCGATAGGTCCCATTCCCCGCGCATTAACTTCCCCTTATCTCTGCACTATACTGCTCTTTTGAAACCTTCCATTCATGGCACCAGCATTAATGGTAGTTGTTTGGTAATGGTTGTTCGGTGAAAAAAGGAAAAACAACCAAATAAAAATAGAGCAAAAGGGTAGATGGGATTACTCTCCTCTTCTGTTTTCTTCTTTTGTGTTGTTTTCCAATTTCAGATCAGGCTTTCACATGGGGACTATGGAGATAGAGGTGACTACTAGTAGTAGTAATCAGAAACACGGCGGTGCTGCTGGTAGTGGTGGTGGCAGCAGGTATCATGAGAGGGCAGTGTATGGCGATAGAGGGAAGGGTATATACTTGGTATGGGAGGATCTGAATGTTGTGCTGCCAAATTTTGGGAATAAACGCACCAAAAGGTTGATTCAAGAGCTTAATGGGTTTACTGAGCCTGGTAGGATCATGGCCATCATGGGTCCATCTGGCTTTGGAAAATCCACACTTCTTGCTCTCTTGCAGGTATGCTTTGCTCTCTCTCTTCCCTGTTTTTTGGTTTATAAATTTTGAATAACAATAAGTTCACTCTTAATTAAAGAACAAAGATGTTATGAGTTGTCTAGATTTCCCTTCGATAAACTACTACGTACTAGTTGCACCTGGCTTTTTAGGCAAAATGGTTACAAACCATGTCAAATGATGTTCCCCCAACCTTTGGGTTAATTCGAATCCCCCTCCCCAAGAAGTCGTAATTTGTGTCTTTTTTTTTTTAAAAAAAAGAGACTACTACTTACTAGTTTTGTGGATTAGGGATTAATGCCTACTTTTCGAGGAGGATAACTAATTGTTGTACTTAATAGCTTTCTTTTTTTGGTAGGAAAGAAAAAATGTTAAGGAAAATTTTCCTTATATATTCTTCATTAGCTAGGAAATAAGGGGTGGATAGAGATGTTCATGTTACTGTTGGCTTTCATTAATGGGTAAATGAAAGGGCCATAATGGTTCCTACTGTAGCATAATTTATCTAGTGGTGGTTATTAATTTGTGGACCACTTTTTTTTTTTTTAACACTAAAAAATTAAAAAAAAGAAGGTGACATTATAAAGAATTAAATCATGGTGGGTCCCATGTGCGAGGTTCATTCTACCAATGCAATCACAAATGCAGATGCTTGTGGACCACCTTCTTAGACATTGATTGAGAGGAGGCAAGTGTACATTATTGACTGCATGCATTAGATTGCTCCCCATTTTTTTCCATTCTCGTACGAGAACGTAATTATTCACGAATTTCTTTGTTTTTAGTGTAGATGATCCCTTTTCTTTTCTTTTTTTATTAAATTGGAGAGAGCTTAGTATAATGCACAAAAATTAACTCATGATGTCATTATAAAAAAATATATACATAGTTTCTTGACGAAAAAAAAAAATTTAATCAGTTTAAAAATGACAGCTAACAACTTTCAACAATCAACAAGGGTCATTTTTAATAAAACCAATCTTAATGATTTCTTAAGTATGAAAAATTCCAAATATGGTAAGACTCCAATGGCTTACTGGTCCTTCCTCTCGGTAGGTGTCCTAACTTTCGGATTGCTAATAGCTAATCACGAACCTTGTTGTGTTGAATATTTAGTTATATCTATTGAGATTCATGTATTTATAATTATGCCTTGAAAGGACCCACTTCAGCCTACTACATGTATTTATGCCCCTTGATGGGTGCATCAAATCATCAATATGGTTACGAGCGAATGCTAACTAAAAAGATTCGATGCCGAATTGCCGATTGCAAGCTGTTGTTAGATCTGTGGACCTGAGCTTGGGCTTGGAGGCATAACCAAGGCCCTCAAACCAAAAACCTAAAAACTTAAGTAGGATTGAGTATTTTTGGTACAAGTCAGATAAGAATTTTATTTAATTAGTATTTGATTTAAAAATTTTTTAGTACGGTTTTTTAGATTTGGTACCTATCCAAATATTCAAAAGCCTATATTTAGTATGTAATCCAACAGATATTGGATAACTTGCATATATATATATATATTATGTATTTGGCTTAGGAAAAAAAAATCTAATATTAGATATTATTGCTATATGTGTTATATATTTAGTTTAATTTGTTAATGGATTAAAAAAACTACCATAGTAACTTTTTATACAAGCTGTTTGATAAAAAAACCTTTTTATACGAAATTGTTAGTGAATTGAAATTTTTTCATTTTATTGATAGATTTATTCATTTTAAGTATTTAATTTTTTGTCATAGTTTTTAATTAGTGTTTATCTAATTAGTTTCAACTTTATTTTTTCTTTTTAATAATATTAAGTGATTATTATATTTTTATTTTTTACATTAATTTATTACAAAAAATTATGTTAGTTTAGTAAATAAAATCTACTAATTAAATAAAAGGATTAAAATTTTGCTTTTTTAAAAAAATT